TATCCAACAACCTCCTTATCCATAAATCCAAAGGTATTTACCCCCCTCCTAATCAATCCTAGACCAGGGTAGATCACTGCCTCCTTTTAAATGTCCTCTCCTCCCACTCAGATTCCAGAGAAGCTGGGTTCTCCTGGTTCTTCCCAAACAAACCTCCCTACCCGTTCCTTAGAACCTTTTGCCAGCTCCTCCTTAAATGTCCTCAACCCTCAGCCCTTCCCTCTCCAGACTCTCTCCCTAGATGCTTTCATCCACTCCATGGTTTCAACTTTAAACTCTATGCAGATGACTCTCACATCAATCAGTCAAGTAAGCAAGGAATACAAAAATATTACACACTTACTGTGTCACTGACGTTCTAGCGCAATTACCTGAGCCTCAACATGTCCCAAACTGAACTCATCCTTCTCTTCCAACCATTCTAGTCCTGTTGATGGCATCACCCTCCTGCCACCTGGGCTCATAACTCCAGAGCCATATTAAACTCTTCTCTTCCCTCACTCTCCTACCTTTTGGGGTAGCAGGTAAAGCACCGTATTTGGAGTCAAGAATATTGGGTTGAAATCCTGGCTCTGATAACTTACTAAAAGTGTGACCTCCAGCAAGTCATGAGGCCTCTGGACCTCAGTTTCCTCCTTTGTAAAATATGGGGCTCAGATCCCTAGGATTCAGTTGCCAATCCATTTTGCCTTCTAGAAACCTCTCTCACCATCTGTCTCCATCTCTCCTATACCACAACCACCACCCCAGGCCTAACTGTCACCTCTTCTCACCTAGATTACCGTGACAGCCTCTCAGTTACTCCTATTTTCAGCCTATCCCCTCTCCAAACTATCCTTCACACCAGTGCTATCATATTCTTGGGGCATCTAGGTGGTACAGTGGATACAGCACTGGTCTCGGAATCAGGAAGATTCATCTTCCCAAGTTCAAATCCAGCCTCAGACACTTACTAGTGTTGTGAGCATGGCAAGTCATTTAATCCTGTTTGCCTCAGTTTCCTCATCTGTAAAATGAGCTGGAGAATAAAATGGCAAACAGTGCAGGATCTTTGTCAAGAAAACCCCAATGACATCAAGGAGTTGAAAACAACACTTTCCCACCATGATTATATTACACCTCTACTCAAAAATCTTCACTGCCTCCCCAAGCCTGTCAGATCCATTAGAAACTCTTGACCCTGACATAGAAGGCCCCAGACAGTCTGGATCCAACCTATCTTTTCCAGCCTCAACTCATATAATTCCTATTAATGTGCTCCAGGTTCTTAAAAAGCCAATATATTTTCTATGGCACAGTAGGTCCAGAGCATCGAGCCTAGAGTCAAGAAGACCTGAGTTCAAATGTGGCCTCTGATACTTACTAGATGTATGACCCTGGGCAAATCACTTAATCTCTGTCTGCCCCAAGTTTCCTCATCCATAAAAATAACACCTACCTCCCAGAGTTGTTGTGAGGATTAAATGAGATACTATTTATAAAGCACTTAGCACAACGCTAGTCACGTATTAGGTAATAATTAAAATTAATAAGTGCTGGTTTCCTTCTTTCTCGACCTACCCTCAATCCCCTTCTCTCAAGCTATTCCCCCTGCATGGAACAGAGGTTTTTTCAACCCCAAACTGTCAACTTAAATGCCTCTCTTCCTTTAAAGTTCAACTCAACTCTTCCAAGCAATCTTTGATGACTCCCTCCTCCAAAGTGAAAGTGACCCCCTGACTGTCCTTCAAGGACTCATAGCACTTTATCTAGACTTTTCTTGTGCACTCATCAATCAGTCCATCAATCCACAAGACTTCACTTAGCTTTTACTATGTGCCAGGCACTGTGCTTAAGGGCTTTACAAATATTCTAGAGACACAAAGGAAAGGCAAAAACAGTCTCTGTCCTCAAGAAGGTTACATTCAAATGGAGGAAACAATACGTATATAAGTATGGAGAGAGATGAGATACATATAGAGTAGATGAAGGATTAGAGGGAAGGGTACTAGGGGAGGGGCTAGGGTGACGCCTGAGCCAAGTCTTAAAGGATGCTAAGAGGTGAAGGGGGAGAGGAAGGACATTCCAGGCGTGGAGGTCAGACAGAATAAAAGCACTGAGGTGGTGGATGCAGGATCACGTGTGAGGAAGCTGGAAAATACAGCTTGTGGAGGGGAGTAATGTGAAAAATATTGGAAAGGCAGGGAGGGACCAGGTTGAGAAGAGCTTTAAATGACAACGTTTTTATTTGATCCTAGAGGTGACAGGGAGCCCCTGGGATTTAAAGAATAGAGCAGTGACATGGTCAGACCCAGGCTTTGGGAACATCACCTTGGCAACTATATGGAGCATAGACTGGAGCGGGGAAAGTTATTTAGATTGTAACATTGGATATTATTATTTGAATAACCAACGGACAGCTTGCTTGTTCCACTGGCATCCATGCAATGGCAAGAGGGTCTCTAGTATGATGGGTGGACCCACTGAGGAGTTTTCAGGTGGACACAGAACTAGAGGCACCTAAGTGGTGCAATGGATAGAATTCTGAGCCTGGAATCAGGAAAAACTGAGTTCAAATTCAGCCACAGACACTAAAAGTGTGAGCCTGGGCAAGTCATTTAACCTGTTTGTCTCAGTTTCCCCATCTGTAAAATAAGTATAATAAAAGTCCCTCCCTGGAAGTCTTGCTGTGAGGATCCAATGAGATATTAGTAAAAAGCACTTAGAACAGTGCCTGGCACATAGTAGGTGCTACATAAATACTATTATTATTATTAGCTATTATTATTATCATAACTGAATGTGGAGGCAGGGATGTCAGTACTGTCATTTATCTGTTCTAAGTATATTCCCTTTCTTGGCTATAAACTCCAAGAGAATGGGGTCCACTCTAATCTAAGAGGCAGGTGGTACAGTGGATAGACTGCTCGACCCAAGTCTGAAGGGCCTGAATTTAAATCCAGCCTCAAACACTTATCATCTGGGTAACCATGGGCAAGCCACTAAACATCTTTGCCTTGGTTTCCTCATTTGTAAAATGATGATAATAGCACCTATCTCCCTGGGTTATTATGAGGATAAAATGAGATATTTGTTTTGTTTTGTTTTTTTATTTTTTAGTTGGGCAATGGGGTTAAGTGACTTGCCTAGGGTCACACAGCTAGTAAGTGTTATGTGTCTGAGGTCGCATTTGAACTCAGGTCCTCTTGAATCCAGGGCCAGTGCTCTATCCACTGCACCACCTAGCTGCCCCATAAATGTGATAATATTTGTAAACAACTTTGCGAACCTTAACGCCTATATAAATGCTAGCTACTGTTGTTCAGATGCGTCCTATTCTTCATGACCCCACTGGGGTTTTCTTGGCAAAGATACCGGAGTAGTTTGACATTTCCTTCTCCAGTTCATTTTACAGATGAGGAAACTGAGGCAAACAGGGTTAAGTGACTTGCCAGCTAATATGTGTCTGAGGCCACATCTGAACTCAGGTCTTCCTGACTCCAGGCCTCCACCTAGAAGCTAGCTATTAATGTTTACCTAAACTCTATCTCTCTCCATCCCCTACCTACTACCACTAGTAAAATCCTCTGTACATGATATTACCCAACAAGCAGTAGGCCTTAAATAAAAAGTTTATTGTTGAATGAATTAATCTTCTGGAAAAGAACGCTATCTCTCACTAATATACCATACCCTAATCTATGCCATTCCCATTTCACTATCACTGTGATAGTGCCACTGAAGCACTCATCGGTGCCTCAGTCTCCAAATTTATGAAAGAAAAATAATCTGGCCCTGAGAGGGAAAAGGTACAGTTTCTATCAATAAAGGTTCGAGGGACAAATATTTCCCCCTCACAGCAAGGCTGTGCGCTACAGAAGGGACTGGCAGAAAGATGGACTTCCTACTGCCCACAGAAACTGTCTACTTTATAAAACAAGCATGTTAATACAGAGTAAGAGTGCTGAACTTGGAATTAGAAGACCTGAGTTTGAGAATCCCACTTGTTACATTCACTACCGTGATCCTGGTCACTCTTGTATCCTCAGTTTCTCCATGTGAGCACAATACCTGTAGTACCAACCTCACAGGATCAAACAAGACGGTTTAAGTAATGTGCTTTGCAAAGCTTAAAAGGCCTACGTGAATCTATAATTCAAGGCCAATTCCTTCTCTCGACCACAAGCTTCTCGTAAGTTCCACGTGGATGGGCCAGGGTGCCTGGGTTAGCTTTTGCTAAGAAAACCCCAACCTAGACTCTGGGATGTTTCTTGGGCGGTTTCCCAAGGGCAGAGTTGTAGGGCGTCTGTGCACAGCCTTAAGCCTTCAGCCCACACCCCTCCGGTCCCGTCTCCTCCTCTCTTCTCCCCCTCCATCCCCCACCTTTCCCCTTCCTCCCCCCTCCCGAAAGCTGCCAGCAGAGCTCAGTGAACCCCGGCGGGCCGAGGGAATGACCGATAGTAACCTCCCTTGCTGACGCTGACGTCACGAGCTCCAGGCCCTCGAGGGGGCGGGGCTCGGGGCTGCACAATTTAGTAGCCCCTTGCGCTCCAGCGGCCCGAAGAGGCGTGACCGCTTCTCGGGGGAAGTGATGAGTCCCCGAGTCTGCACAGCTGCTCGGAAAGGGGTCGGCGGAGGGGGGTGAGAGGGGCAGAGTGTGAGTCTCCAAATGTGCCCCCAGACGGCGAGTCCCCAACTGTGCGCGCATCCCGGGGACTCGGTGCCCGCGGACCTGCACAAATACACGCAAACACTCTCCACAGCCAAGCACGGAGTCCCAAGCCACAGACACGCGCAGAAGCACGAATACACACACAGCCTCGACGCCGGGGAACAGTCAAGACCGGCTGAGGATTCTGGAGGGCTGCCTCTGGTCCCGGAGGGGAAAGAGGGGTGCAGACAGCCCCGTCCCCCTCCTCACCACACTCCCGGCTGTGCATCCTCTCCCGGCCGGGCTCCCACGCGCCCAGTTCCAAGGAAAGGCTCCCCAGCAACCCCACTCCTCCCTCCCCGGGACCCACCTTCGATGTCGCTGAGCAGAGCCGAGTCGATGTCACTGGACTCGCCCAGGCCCAAGGAGGGATCCAAGGCCGTCTCATCGAAGGACAGGCCATTCATCTTGGCGGCCGGAGGGAGCCCGTAGCTCCGCCGCCCCCGCCTCCTGCCCCGCCGGACCCCGGACGCCTGCTCCGGGCTGGGTGGCGTTTCTCTTCCCACACCGCGCCTCTCCCAGTGCCTTCCCTTAGCTCTGCTCCATGGACCGTGCTCTTCTCGGAGGAGAAACCGTGCACGCCCCTAACTCTGCCCGGGCCGTCGGCGTCCAGTGGCCTCGCCCAGTTCCTGAAACAAAGTTAGTGCCAGGGTCACCACCCGCCCGCCCCCAGCGCCATGCCCGCCAAAAGTTGGTCGCTTAACTGCCCCGTGGAGGGGGAAGGGAGGGAGAGGGCGCGGGGCGGGGCATCGGCGCCGGGTGTCTCCACCCCCCCCCATCCTGCCCCCCCCCCCCCCCCACCCCCGCCCTCCAGTTTGAGTGACAGCCCCATCCCGAACTCGGAGCCTCTGGGGACGCTCCGAAGCCGAGGAAGCGGTAGAGGAACTGGGCTACCTAAGGCCTGGGCAGCGCGAGTCCGCTGCTGGGGACCACGTGGAGCCGGGAGGCCGGACCTGGAGGGGAGCGTGGGGATAGCATTTGTGGCGCTGGGTGGGGGGCTCTCTGGGCTGCGACCAGGTGTAGGGCGCACGGAGCTTCGCCAAGTGCGTGGCGGCTCAGCACGGTTCCGGGCCCAAGTCAGCTGGAGGATTTGAGGGGTCCCTGCACTCGCGGGGCAACTCGCCTAGCTGACACCCTCCCTAGACCCCTCCCTCTCAATGAAGCACCGGCGCACAGCCCCCAGCTTCCCAATTTGTGGAGATCCCAGGCTGACTGTGACTACCCTGTGTTTGAGCTTCCTAGATGCTTAGTTCCCTCCTCCTTCATACTCCTCAGATGGGAAGATTCCTAGTCGAACCTGGGACCAGATCAGCCAGCCTTCCCCACGCCAGTCCAGGTGGGGCAGGTCACCTGGACTGACCTGATGCCATCTAGACTGGCAGATAAAGCCCCTGTCCATGTCCCTGCCCCACCTTCACTGACAGCCCCTACCTTTAACTCGAGGTAGAGCTTGAGACCTTGTCAAAGTGTGGTCCGAGGACAACTGGGGGTCCCCAGGTCAAAGCCATTTTCACAATCATACTGAGAAGTTATTTGTCTATTAAAACGTATCTGCCTTTTCCAACTATTTATCTGTGTGAGGCTGGATTTTCTTCATATATGAAGAGCAAACCAAAGTGCCTTATTCATGCCAAAGCAGATATGAGAATCCAGCTGTCTTCTGTTTAAACCAGAAGTTAAAGAGATATGCAAAAATATGTAAAATAATTCCAGTCTTCTCACAGAATTTTTTTGTTTTGGAAAATATAGTTATTTTTCATAAAACAAACGTTATTTATGTTAACATTTCAGGGGCCTATTATTAATTTTAATTAAGAAACATTTAAATTTTCTCAGCTTTAATTCCTAGTACAGTAACTATCAAAAGATAGAACTCACATAAACAAAAGTTCTTTGGGGTCTTCAGTAATTTTAAGAATGTCAAAAAAGACCAAAAAAAGAACAGCTGCTATAATTCAACCTCCTCATGGGTAAACTGAGACCCAGGGAGGGAAGTGACCACAGATGAGGAGGGCAGGAGAGCAGGTGGGGTGGGAGATTAGGTTGTGTTCTTAATGGTCCTGGAATTAGAGGCCCAGGGCCTGGGCTTGAAATCTAACTCTGCCACCTATTTGACCTTAGGTAAATCTCTTCACTCTGGGTCTTAGGTGCTTCATCTGTAAAACTAAAGAGTTGGCCGGGTTTGTGGCTCATGCCTCTAGTCCCTACTAGGAAGGCTCAGGTTGGAGAATCACATGAGTTTGGGAGTTCTGAGCCGCAGTAGGTCTAAAGCTTATTATTGGGGTGTTCCAATTAGTACATCTAGCAAAGATGGTTAAATCCAAGGGAAGGGTGAGTGGCATCAGGCCACCTAAAGAGGGTCCAACAGAAAGTTGGGCCAAGGTTCCCTGCGGTTCAGAAGCCTGGGTGAGAGATAGGGAAACATAGTCTCAAAAAAGAAAAAAACAATGAGTTGGTGCCATCTTTATTTCAGCTATAAAAGTCTCTTCATCTCTAAGCTGCTGTTTCTATAGCTGCTGCCCATGCCTAGAACCCTCTTCCTCCTCCATTCCACCAGCTAACCTCCCTGGCTTTCTTTGAGTCTCAACTGAAATCTTTTACTGGAAGCTTTTATATCTTTTACTGGAAGCTTTCTCCGATTCCTTTTAATTCTAGTGCCATGTTTCTGTTAATTATTTCCTATTTATCCTGGATAAAGCTTGTTTTGTAGATATTTGTTTGCATATTGCCTCTCCCAGTAGACTGTAAGCTCCTTGAGGTGAGAGACTATCTTTTACTTCTTTGTGTATCCCCATAGATTAGCACAGTTCTTGGCACATGATGGGCGTTTGATAAATGTTTAATGATTGATATTGGTTCCCTCTGTGATACAGTTTAGCATTTGATTTTTATCAAATTTTGATAAAAAATTTGCTTTTTGTATTCCTTTTCACATTTTTATTGTTTTATTCTTCCACTAAGATCTCATTTTGGTGTGGCAATGATTCTGGGTTCTAGGTGCCACAGAAGAACAAGCAAGTTCTAGTAGTTACTATCAAATTAGGCCTTGGTGATAGGGGATCCACAGACCAGCCTAGCTAAATTTGGAGAGGGTCAACACCAGAAGGTTGGCCACCAAGTGAAGGATTTTTTTTTTTCTTCTGCATCTAATGAAAGGTGTAGAGGGATTACAAAATCTGCCTCTGGTTTCGTGTAGTGGAGTCTGTGCTGCACGCAAAGGAAATCATAGATCTTCTCAAGTATTGATAAAGTATCATTTTACTGGGTGTATGTCTTCTTAACTGATCTGTAAGTTTCTTGAGGGCAGGGATTTTATCTTCTGTTTCATTTTTATCGCCATTTCATTTCTATCCCCCTAGAAAACAGTGCAGGATGTACTGAATACAGTCACCCAATAAATACTTTGTTGATGTTTGGATTGTGGTAAATGGAATCAAGCTCTGGCCTCCCTTATTTCAGGATCTAGAGTTAGGTTGATAATCAGTAGTTACTGGGTGGCAAGTCCTGAAGCATTTATCTGCATGGCTTCAACCCTGTAGAAAAAAAATCTTCAATGATTTAATTGAAAAGCTTGAGCCCTGGAGATGGGTGAGTTCTTTTTACTCACTTCACTCGCAGTCGGGGGAAAGGGTAGATCTGGAAGAGTTGAAAGGCATAATCCATAATCTGGTTTTCATCAAACAAGCAGTTATCAGTACACATTGCATTTTTTATCCCTTTTGGGCCAAAGGAAGGAGGTATACATCAGTGGTGGCCCAAGCTCCCATCTGGTTCACAGATTGCTATACAGTAATACATAAATTTATTGTTTCAGAGCACCTTCATTCAATATCTATTATCTCTTGTCCTCACTGAAACCTTCTGAGAGAGGGAGTATTGTTTCCATTTATTTGACAAAGGAACCAAAGCAGGGAGAGGGTCTCAGGAAGTCACTACAGAACCCAGGTCTACTGACACTCACACTGTGCTTAGTCTTTTAAAATTTATTTTATTTTATTTTTTTCTCAATTACATGTAAGTAAAAATTTTCAACATTTGTTTTTTTTTATTTTGAGTTTCAAATTCTCTCCCTCCCTCCTTGAGAAGGCAAGCAATTTGATATAGATTATATATGTGTAGTCATGTAAAACATTTCCATGTTAACCATGTTGCAAAAGAAAACACAGATCAAAAAACCAAGAATAACAAAGAAAGAAAGAAAAAAAAAGCCCACTTCAATCTGTATTCATATGCCATCAGTTCCTTTGCTGGAAGTGGGTACCATTTTACATCATAAATCCTTCAGAATTGTTTCGGATTATTGTGTTGCTGAGAATAGCTGTTGTTCACAGTTGGGGAATGGCTGAACAAGTTGTGGTATATGATTGTGATGGATTGTGTTGTTCAGTTGCTTCAACTGTGTCTGACTGACCCCATATGGGGTTTTCTTAACAAATATACCAGCATGGTTTGCCATTTCCTTCTCCAACTTATTTTATAAATGAGGAAGCTGGGGTAAACAGCATGACACAAACTTGCCCACAATCACCCAGGTAGTAAGTATTTGAATTCTAGTCTTCCTGACTGCAGGCCTGTTGTTCTATCCTCTTTGCCACCTAGCTGTCCTTGTGATGAAATACTATTGTGCTATAAGAAATGATAGAGGGGCAGCTAGGTGGCACAGTGGATAGAGCACTGGCCCTGGAGTCAGGAAGACCTGAATTCAAATCTGGCCTCAGACATTTGACACTTACTAGCTGTGTGATCCTGGGCAAGTCACTTAACCTGGATTGCCTTACAAAAAAAAAAAAAGAAAGAAAGAAAGAAAGAAAAAGAAAAGAAACAAAATGATGAGCAGGATGCTTTCAGAAAACCTGGGAAGACTTACATGAACTGATCCAAAGTGAAATGAGTAGAACCTGTGCTTGTTCTTAAAGACAAATTGCCTCTCTCAAGCTTATTGAAAAAAAAATAGGAATTGCCTCTTAGAGAAGGGAACATGGAGCACGTATTTGAAAACATGTAGTCACATGCTTACTTGTTACAAGGATTATGTTTTCCTTTTTGGGGGGGGGATTTAGGTAGGGGGAAAGGGATCTGGTAATAATATTCCTAAAAAAGAAAAGAAAGAGGATCATTGAAGCATTTTTTAAAATGCACAGAAAAGAATAGAAGGAAGTTCAGAAGGAAGCACAGATAAGAAGGACAGCTTTGAAAATAACGTGTTGAATTTAGTATATATATTTTTAAAAGAGCAGGCTGTATGTAATAGATTCTTGTATTTACGTGTATTCTGTTCCTGTTCTACTTTGTATATGAAAATGTTTTTTTTTTAGTGTTTGTTACAGAAAAAAATTAAAGCCGATAATATACAGTCACCCTTTTACCTCCCAAAAGACACTTAAATGCCCAAAATGCTGGTTCGTATCCCTCTGTGCTGTTAGCATGTATTCCCTTGGTTCTGAGATGTTGTTGATCTTAGAGCCAAATTCCAAATAGATTCTGTCTTGGCTGCCAGTTCAAAAGGGCTATGACAGTAATCCCATCTGACCAGCTATTGCAAAGTATTCCCTCCCTGAAAATCAGAGTAGAACACCATATGGATATGGCAATGGTGATAACAAAATAAATATATAACATTAAACCAGTCATTTCATCCAGATGGGCAAGTGATGCTGAGTG